ATGTGCACCCTCCCTGTAAAAGTTCTGGTTACGGCCCTACCCCTATCTAGAATTACACGAAGTAATTTTCATCCAGGCCCTTTCTAGATCGAATTAGAATTCAAAAGTTGATTTTTGAGGAGGGAGGAAAACCAGAGAACCAGGAGAAAAAACCCTTGAAGCACAGTTGTGATCCAACAAACAACGACAAGTCCAAGAATCGAACCTGGGTTGCATTGGTGAGAGACAACCCTTTCACCACTACRCCACCCGTGCTTGACCCCCAAAATAGCCATGCAAGTGTATGGATATAAAAATATATAACACATAATATATAATATATATAATAATTATATAATATTATATGTGCTTTTTCATTCCATTTCTGTGTCGGCACAGAATGTATCCTCCAGTCTTGGTCACAGAATTTTCTTCTACTTGACATATATCTATCATCTATATCTATATTCTATGAAATGCTCACTTCAGATTGTAATACTGGTAGAGTATAATGCTAATATATACATGACCACAAAACCAAACAGTATTCCAAAGGACTGTAGAGCAAATGTCTTCAGGTTTTTCTTAATCGATCCTTTACCTTCTTTACATGACATCTCTGTTGCTTCTTGCAGCTACGAGTTAAAATGAATGTTAAGTATTTGCACACCAAATTCAAGTGTGATTAAAAAATGTAGTGTATAGTGCCACATTCAAGATTAAATAAAAATTCTAGTACAATATTGAAGCTCTCCGGAATAAGGGAAAGTTAAGGACTTAATTTTCGAAGCCCCAAGAACGACCCATGAAAATATTAAAGTTCTAATTGAGAGCCCCCTCTTCATGTACCTGACCGCATCTGTCAGCATCTTTATGCATATACTTACCATGTCCACCAATGAGATGTAAAGAAACATTCCTCCTGCAAGAGCATAGATCCACTTGACAGCTGATGTTGAGTATCCTAGCAACAGTCCAACAACCAAGCCAATGAAGCATGTACATGCTGAGAGAAAGTTACACAATAGTCCCTGTTTATAAGACATGCCAGCATTGAGAAGGACTGCAAAATCACCTAGAGAGAAAGATAAATGAAAGAACGGTTTAGCTTGGAGTAATGCTTTACCATTTCAGGCCACATATTATTCCCTTAGGAACACGACTGCTTGTCAGTTTTSAAAAATCATTTCTGATAAACATGAAAATAAAACTCAAGGGAAAGAATCCCTGGTCTATACTTACCAAGTTCATGAGGCAACTCCTCACAGAATATAGCAAGTGCTGTGCTAATGCCATCGTACGTTGATGTTGAAAAAGCTGCACCTATTGCCAGACCATCGATGAAGTTATGCACACCATCACCAAAAACAATCATCCATGCAACAGGTGCTATTCTTCTTTTTTTCTTACTATGCTTTTTAGTGTCCTTAGGGTCTACAATACCAATAGATGGCTGWGAARTGMTGAGAAYTTTTGAATCAGAGTCTGCACAGGGCAGGGCAAGTTCTGGCTTGTTTGGAAAATAGCTGTTGCCAATGCAGAAGCTCTCAGCGTGACCATGGTGGTGATCTTGCTTGATGTTGTACATTTCTAATTGTGCTTCTGCTATGCCATTATCAGGAATCTGATGTTGGTGTTTTTCGTCCTGAAGCGAAAGTTACCTAATTAACAAACTCTACACACCTAATGTCGAGTCCAGAACCCAAATTTATCATGGAACAAGGGCCACAAGTTTGTTTGCCACTGACTATTAAACCAGGTACCTTCATGTTTATCTTTTTGGTTTATGGCCTAAGTGAAAGCTGTGTTTATTCTTACTTACATCTGACAAGTAGTGTGAATGTCCATGGCCGCCAAGCATACTATCATCATCTTTAAACCTGACATACATCTTCATGATGTACTCCATACAGAAAAAGAAATAGATCCCACCGACCATAACACAACACTTGTAGAGGTAGGAAAAGTCATCATCTTTTCCAAGGCCAAATGCCTGCAGCAAAAAGATAAAATACATGTTAATGAAACAAACAACGTAGAACCTGTACAGAAATCAAGGGCGGCATAGTAGTGGTGCACTTGCCTGTCACCTCAGGGTCTACAGTAGGTTTGATTCTTGGACATGCCATATCAATGTTAAGTAGAGATTGTTAGGTCTCTCTCTTGATTCAAGGGTTTTTCTACAGTGTTCCTCCCTTTGCAAAACCTAATAAGCTAATTCTAATTTGATTTGTGAGTTAACTGTGACCTGACTCAGATCACCCCAGAGGTTATTCAGAGCTTAATGCGTGAGGTAGCCTTGCCCTGACTTTGATCAGCTCAGAGGTTCTTTCAGAGCTCAATCTGTGAGTTAGCTGTGCCCTGACTTAGATCAGCCCAGAGGTTGTTACAGGGTTGAATCTGTGAGTTAGCCTTACCCTGACTTTAATAGATTGGCCTAGAGGTTCTTTCAGAGCCTTAAGTGAGCCATGCCAAGTCTAAGATAAATTACTACTTACACTGGGAATGAGATGAAAAATACCACTTCCTCCTAACACTCCAACCGCTAGAGACACCATGAATAACAGAAGGGTCTTGTAGAAGTCTTYGCTCATAAACGGCACAACAAAAGCACCAAATAGAGATGCACAACTGATAATAAAGACAGACAAGAAACCATATCCCCAGGCTGAAATAATAATTAATATTAAAGTAATAATGATGATGATGATGAATAACAATGATTAATACTTGCCAAAGGCAGAGTGAATATCAGGGAATAGTTGAAACACAAGTCTTTGACTGGCGAGGTAAAAATCCCCTAATATTTCCTTATTTGAAGTTGTTTGTTCCCTCAGCAACAACATGGATATGATATAGAAACCTAATCTGAATTACGTACAACGATATGAAAAAAAATCACTATGGAGTTGTGAATTTTATTTTTTAGGTTTTTAAAACTGGGCCTAAACATTCTGCAAGCTATAGTAAAATCATATTTAAGGTTAGGAATGACTATTGCTTAGTTCTAGAAATTTTCCATACCCCCCCCCCCCCTCCCCCAGAGCAATTTGGAATTTGAGAGGAGTTTGGGAAGTCAAAGAAAGAACAAAATTACAGAGTTAGTATGAAAGAAAATTGGAATTTCTAAGGGTAGGGGGGTCTTTAAAGAAATTCCTCCTTGGGGAGGCATGGATAATTTTTTTGAAAGTACACATCGTCAGTGTTTTTGCAAATGAGGTACAAAGTTCACCAATGGTGTGATATTCCAATGATGAAACATTTCAGCAATGGTTCAATGGCAACTTGATTTGGGAGTATTTAAAAGATTAATAATTATATTTTTTATGTAAAGTAATTTCAGGTTCAGTACAGTACAGGTTCTCCAACTGGCTACTTTTATTTGCCAAATTAGTCGAACATGTCTTTATCAAAATGCCTTAGTATTATTTTATGTAATAGGACTCCATGCTGTCCATTTAAGAAATAATTGGACGAGGAAAATTCTAAGGACTACCAAACTGGATGAGGCCGTAGGCTGAGTCCAATTTGGCAGTCAGAGGAATTTTTCGAGTCTAATTATTTCTTGGTTGGGGAGCATGAAATCCCATTACCTATTAATTATATAGCTGCGTAATTAATCCCATATCAACAAGACCTGTACAATTAAGAAAATAATTGGACAGTTACCTATATGGGATTAATGAGAAGCTGTATAATTAGTAATATTAGTGGTAGAAGTATTATGTAACAAAAAGATTCTCATAAACCAATGAAAAACAAAGAAAACAATAATAAGCATGCAAAGGCACTTGGGCTGTACTAGTGGATATGTCTATAGGGAGGATTGAATTTTGGGTTAAATAAAAATTTTTAGAGAAAAACAATCCAATGAAAAGAGTGATTTTTTTGGCTTTTGAAAATGAAGTCAAAAACAGTAATTTTTGTTTTTCCAAAAATGTATAAAGGATTTTTTGTTAGAATTTTGGACAATTCTATTGGTGTTTTGATTTGCAAAGTTTTCTGTTTACTGGTGAAGATTCTAGACTGGCATTGAGACCAACCCTTTCAAAATATAGGAGGAATTAATAAGGTGCTATTTATGGGCAATTTAATTTATTGGGCATTTGAGGAGACAAAGGGTCAATATAACCTATTGAAATATGTCTACAAGTATAAAAAAATATCMTTTTTACCTTTAGCCTTGGATTCCTTYCCAACAATAGGCTCRAGTTCTKCAGTTTYATCACTACATTTCTGACTATCTATCTGTTGTACAATTGCTGGACAAATCTTGTTAAAGTTTTGTTTATTCAATGCTGTCTTGTTGATTGAAAATACATCTAGAAGACTTGAACCTGAAAAGCACTGAAACAAAAAGATTACATAATAACATTATCATATATCATATATTAAATTCCAAATTTGCTTGGATAAATTTTCTAAAAGAGGAACTATGGAACTACACACTGCTACACAGAATGTGTTATTCACACCAGAATATGTCATTATGTCACATTTATGAAACTGAAATCGTATACTGATTAATAATTCATGGCTCATTGATCAACCAAGGTTTCTTATTTGTACCACGTGCACATGCAGTAGTTTGAAACCCCCATCAAATAAGACTGCACCCATTTCAAAGTCCTAGTACTTTGAAATATTTCAAAGTCCTACTACTCGGACTTTGAAATATTTCAAAGTACTAGAACTTTGAAATAAAAACATAACAAAAAGAGTATAAGATGTCGTGTCAAATACTCATCACTGTATTCTATTGGGGTTTCAAAATCCGAGTGAAATTTCAAATGCCTTGGCTACACCTCAGCATTTCAAATTCCACTCGGATTTTGAAACCCCAATAGAATTCAGCAACTTGTATTTAAAACATTACATCTTATGAAAAATGCTATGAAGACAAAAGTGGACATAGAGCTTTAAATTTCGTTCAGTTTTTGAAAACCTATTCGAAACTTCAGAATGGTGAAATGGGACCTAATCTAATATCTATTTCACAAGTTTAGTGACTTCACTCTAACATATGAAGGCTAAAGTAAAGAGAAAATATTTAAAAAATTACAAATAAAATTCCAGAACTTTAGATTATATTAGAATTTTTATAGTGAAATAGACATTAGACTGACACACTTTATTCCATTGTTTTCTTTTGTGTCTATTTGACTATTACACGTTSACTARTAWTTTTTATTTCACGGGTTAAAAGCCTTCACTCTAATTACGTTGTGTATGTAAATCCCTCCAAATATATCGAGCACTTCACCTATGAAAAAATATCGCAACATTTTCTTTCAGTAAAAGAAATATCAAGCAACAACATGCAGGCAAGGGTTGTTATAAATATCCCTCATCCGATGGTCGGCGTCCCTTCCTTTAGGTGAATTTAAAACAATATGTTTAGTTTTTAGCTTTTATATTTTTGTTAGCAAATGTGAAAAAGATAAACAAAACTGGATAGAATCCAACAGCCCTTCTACAAAAATCAAATATTTAATTGTAAGCACCCAGCCTCTTCATTTCAGCACGTAAAAAAACGTGTACTGGTATTTTAAACTACCGATAAAYGTGCCACGTACTGATACTGATATGTCTTCAAGGTAATTAGATATCCCTAGTCTAATAAGTGCGTTGAATATATGACTTGAATAAGTTGAACAATTCAACTCATTAGTAAATTTTAGTATTTTTTTTTCTACAAGAAAAAAATGCACTGAATGGTTTAACCGTAGTAAGAAAGCCTTGGGATACAATATATGTACGACGTTCGTTAAAATTTACCTTTCTGTTACAAACTTTTTCCATTGTATATTACAAATGTTTTCTTGTTTTTATTATTGTTACGTCTATGTCTTAAATATAGTAGAAACTATTTTCATTTTTCCTTTCAGTCATGTCAAATGTCACGTACTACAGTGACGTGGAACCTACCCTTTCTTTGACACCAGCGTGATTGTTAGCAGTTTTTTCGTTATCTTTACCGATCCCCAAGTTCACGAACATTGTTTTTAACTGTGTATCATCCAAAGAGCCATTACTGCCATACTTTTCGAACAGTTCGTCGGTAAAATCTTCAGGCGAAACAACATCGGCACTTCGAATTCCACTGTGCGAAACATGATGCGCTCTGTAATTACTGTGAATAGG